ATGTTTACAGTTTTGCTCCCTGCTTAAGTGCTGTTCATTCCGTTTTGATTACTTATTGATTCGTCGTTTAATGAGGTTCTAGTCATTTCTGTGCACTACAAAAAAAGTTGTTATACTACTCCAGAGAGTCACTACTTTGTTTTACTTGTCCTACAATTTAATGTCAAGTGTTTAAGCTGTGGCTGTCCCCTAAACTGACAGCTGTCTGTCCTGATTCGACAAATCAAGAGTAGCAGGCCTCCTGACACACACAGTGACCCACTGCAGCCTCTTTCTCTCCGTACGAACATCTTGGTAGATTCTCAAGGGAAAAACTAAATTTGAACAACAAAATAAAGTGCATAAATTATAATGTTTTCCAAGTTGTAGTGATTTATTAAAAATCGGCCATGCAAAACACATCTAGTTGGTGTGGAATTAAATCAACATCACGAGGAGAGTTTTGGCAATTTCGTCCCAAAATCAAGATGGACACTTCTCTCAAACGATTTATTTCAAATTGAACTCTTGAGCTTGTGCATGTGCTTTGTGTGTCTGTGGTGACTCTGTGAAGGGCTGGAAACTTGCTCAGAGTTTATCTCAGTCCTGCCTAGTGACTGCTGTAATAAGCTCCAGCACACTCTTTAGCAGACAACAGTCAAGTGTGGAAAATTAATCATTTGAGTTGGACCCATGAGCATTCTACTTTTCAAAAAGTGTGACTTTTTAATGAGTACATTATTTCACTGCATAGACAGAGTTATATGTTGCTCCTCCATACGGAAAGCAGTTGAACCACCAGGTTGTAAATGTGTGGCTGATGAGTGGAGCTCATTACATTGGGATAAATTTGCAGATTAATTTACATATTTTGGATTAGCAAGGGGAAACTCATCTCCACTGAGTAAACTGCACCATCATTCTTAACATATGATTGCTTATTGGGAACCTGAACCGAGGCCATAATAAACATCTCAATGCATGGCACTGAATGTAAAGTGATGATATTTTTAGGTCTGAATTTGAGGCATTTACTATACATTGCTGTATTTTATACAACAATCTAAATATTTAAATATGGACACGCATTGTAATTGCTGCATTCTCTGTAAAATATTCTTCTAGTTTTGTATGTGCTGAAGAAATTATGAAGCGATCACCACTTTTCGAATTGTTCTCATCACATTCTGAGGTATTTGTTTCACTGCAGTGACATTATCATGTAGATTATGTGACAATCCCTCCATAACCTTCCCGTCATATTTACCATGTCTGAAAGAAACAGAACCTCTTTAGTTAACACTTGCAGCACTGGCAATTTTCTCAACAGCAAAGACTGTAAAACATTCCTGTAAAAGCTTTTATTTCCCCTCCCCCTGTATTTATGAACCCTGTAATGTCTGTGTTTTGAATGGTAACAGTGTAGTTTAAATTAATTATATTTGGAAGTTTTTGTTTCTGTTTTAATTGAATGGATAGCTGATTTGCGTGTGTAATCTACATTTGTTTGATACAATAAAATGTTTAAGTTGGTGATGGGTTATGTTTCTTTGACTCGTATCCAGGGACACTTTCTAAATTCTTGCAGGTTAAGGCTGACACCTTGTTTGAGAGTCGCTGTCAGAGTCAGGATGTGTGCCGTAAGCAGAGTTGGTCAAAAACATCTCCTAAATTGTCAGAAATAAGAGTGAAGTTAAACTTACCACTGCACCATTTGTCGTGGGTTTACTTGGGGTAAATTTTGACTTAACCCTAAAAATAGACTCTTTAGCTTAAATAATTCACTTTACATGGACCCAAGAGTATAAAACCACATGCATTTTTCATGAAGAAGGCAGGGTTCAACAAATGCATTTTGTGACACTGCAGCATTTTAAGTTACAAGTGATACCCCTACAGACAAAAATAAATGCTATTTTTAGAGCATTTGTATCTCTAGATAAAGTACATCAGCATATCTTCATATATATTTCTTAAGATCCATTCAGAACAAAAGGCGTGATTAAAATATGTTGCAAAAATTACAAAATGAACTTTAATATGTCATTTATCTCTATGCTTAACTTACAATGCTGAGTAAACTGGGCCGCTGTGGTTATTGTATGTATTCTTAAAAGGAAATCATGAACACCAGAAAATGTTTGTTATAAGCATTGGAGTGAGTCATGAGGCAATGGTCATCTTACAATACATGTACTACATTTAGAAAATAAAATTAAATACTTACATATTAGAAACCATGTACATCTTAATGTCTTTAGCTTAACCTCTGTTGAAAACCATGTGAAGTTTAATACTAAGTTGGGGCAGCAGAATAGGTTCTCACTCTATACCGCCTCCTGCTGGAGGATTAGAAAATGTCAGAATTTCAAAATGGTCACATGACTAGTAAATCATATTGGTTCCTGCCCAGAACAGAATACTGGAAGCTTCCTTGTAAGGATTTTAATTCTTATTGCCTGGATTTATTTATGATTACAACAACTACAATGCATCTGGAAGGTAATCACAGTGCCTAACATTTCACACAGCTCGTGTTTCTGCCTTTGTCCAAATTGGATTCATTTATTTCCTCATAATTTCACACACAAACACTGCATTATCACAAAGAGATTTCTTTTGATTGATTTAGAAAATTTCTTACAAATAGAAAACCAGGTATTCACAGATTTGGCTTAATATGTTATTGATCCACCTTTGGCACAGCCTCAAGTCTTTTTGAATTTGATGCCACCAGCTCAGCTCACCAACCTTCAGACAGATTCACTCATTCAGTTCTGTGGCTCCGTCAGGTTGCAACCATTTTCAGAGACATTCAATAGGATTTGAGTCTGGTTTGGCCGTCCAGAACTATTCAGAGTGGTTCTGAAGCCTTTGGGATCTTGGCTATGTGCTTTAGGTTGTTGTCCTGCAGAAAAATGAACCGTTACCCCAGTCTCAGGTTAAGATCACTCTGGAGCAGGTTTTCATCCAGGCTGTCTCTGTACATTATTGCTTTTTGACTTATCTGGCAGTTCCTGATGCTGCAAAGCATCCCCAGAGCATCATGCTGCCACCACCTTGGTTTATCTTATGGATGGCATTGGTCTGTTCATGAGTCATACCATGACACCTGGCTTTTTTTATAGATAAGGAAAACTACCCTAAGGCCTTGTAGAGATAACCGGGGCATAACTCAGACACCAATGACAGCCCAGACTAAAGGCTTCAATTATGATTCTTGGTGCCTCTTGAACAGACATTAGTTGTACACATGCGCCAAGTTGGATGGGTGGTGGTTGGAGGTGAATTTGCAGAAATGTCCAACAAGAATTTAGTGTTTGTGTTGCACATCCAGTAAAAATAAACATGAAAACAAAGTGAAACAGAAAATAATTGACCACAATCTCATTTATAAACAAACATTCACTTTTTTTTTTAATTATCATACTCAGTGGCACATTTCTTTAAATCACTATCAATTCCTGTATAGTCTCTTTTCTTTTCTTACTCTCAGTTTTCATATTTTCAGCTAGGTGTGAATCTGCAGGCTTTGGCTTTTCTGTCACTTTGTTGCTGGTGTACCTTAATTTTCCCCACTAGGGGCAATAAAAGTAATCTATGCTATATGTAAAATTCATGTCTAAATCCAAAGGCTGAAAGATAGTTTTATTAAGACTGCATTTTGCTATTACTCCCAGTTATGGTTATCTAGAACTGTGACTGAATAGTTTTTTTTTGTTGTTGTTGTTTTTGCTTTTCATAGAAGTTGCTATTTGCCCAACATTTCTGCATAGCTATGGCACCTTCTAGGAGCAGCCGAATCAGCATAGCTATTGTTCCCAATTGCTTAAGGTTCTCTCTGAAAAAATATTGTATTTCTTCCTGTGTTTAATCTTGCCAATCCTTTGAGAAAGCCCAGTGAAGAACCAATTGCAGCCACTAACTATAAGTATCTGTTTTTCATCACCTAAATTTAACAACTGACTCAGTTTAGCTTTGTTTCTCTCCCAGATGAAGCCACTAATGGAGACTCCTGGGTCAGCATTAGAATGTTGAGTTAAGACCAAAATATTTATTCCCCTGCAGATTTAGGTTCAAAAATTATCTTTGCAAATCTGCCAAAGTAACTCGTTTTTGGAATGGTCCACCCAGATCCCTGGCTTTAATCAAACCTAGTCCATACAGCAAGCCTGTGAGTTTTCAGCAGATCTAGAAAATAAATCTCTTCCTAGTTTTACAATCATGTAAACCACCGTACCAGAATGCATCTGTAAACTTTGTAGAATCAGAAAAGATGTTTAAATGTTAATATATTATTACAAAACAGCAGCTGCCCCTCTTCAAATTCTGAAGTACAAGTACGTTTTGCTACATGTGTAATGTCGATAATGGACCAAAAACATGTGGCTTGTGGGTAATTAGTATGCCCGTACAGCAGGAGGCGTTGTTGGACTCACTATTAACAAACTGCAAAAGCACCTTGCTTAAGATTGTGGGGACTGAGAGTACTGTTTGCATCTTGCAGCTGTCCGTCGGCCTTTCAGCACATATTAAATCACCAAACATCCCATAAACTCTTTAGGAGTTTATGGATAAATATTTATTAAATGTTTATTTAACAGAACGGAGAGGCCTCTCAGAGCCGTACAGAGTCATGCGAAGTTGGAGGTGGCTCCTGGTTTTAGTCTGCTGTGGGAAATGACTAAATTATGATTATATCTTCAGTGTATTTAAAACCTGTTTTAACTACAAAGTCAAAACAGGTTTTTTTGACACTTCAAACCTGGACTAAATTATTCTGCACTAACAGAATTACTCAAACCCAGTTCTATGTGACTTCACAGTTACAAGGTACAAATACTTTGAACCAAATACCTCCATGTGATTACGTCAGGCAAATATTAGCAAACTACCAATTTAAATGCTAGAAATATATAAAACGTAAAAGGCAAGAATTTAAAACCATGCATTATAAATCTGGAAACTGGTGCAAAATAAGTGCAAATGCTGCACTCTTAAATAAGTCACATAAGTCAAAATGATGTATGTTTAGAGTTTAATGCAGGATAAATATGTCAGCGTAGTTCTATAACTACAACTGGAAAAAGCTTCTGTTGTGTTTAAGTGGAAATTTAAATAAAAACGTCTGACAACTAAATGACATGACCAGCATGTCGACTTTCCATTTAAATTACTGTGGTGTACAACTTACTCTTGAAATAAGACACAATGACATATGTATGTATTGCACATCATCTTACCTTTGGAAAATGATCTTAAGTCTAATCATGCCTCCTTCTCTGTCACATTATAACAAAAGATTGTGTGGTTTTGTTACAAAAAGTGATTCCCAGCCTCAGTTTAACAGTGTAGAAATTCTTGGTAACAAGCCCAAATCATAAGAAAGTCCCTTCTACTGTTTTGTATTTTCACTGCTGTCTTGCAGAGATTTTTCTGAAAGCTCCTCCTCCCTTGATCGTTGTTCTTTTGTAACACTGGAGTCAGAAAATCCTGGAGGAAATAAAAGGTTGGAAAAGGGATTGGAAAATGTTGATAAGCTGAAAGAAAAACAAAGTACCCGTATCTGTTAATCTCAGCATGAGATCACTCTGAAATGAATTAAGATAACAAATCAAATCAAAGGGACGGAGCCAAGATGCTTCAACTTTGCCAGAATGCGGGATATATATATATATATATATGTATATATATATATATATATATATATATTTTACAACAAATCATCTATTAGACTGCAGCAGAAGTTTTTCAAAATTGTATTTCTGGTACCATGAATTATTTCTTTACATCAGCGGAAAACATGTCAGGTTTGAAATTGCTTTAAAATAGTTCAACAAAAGTGCCTTGTTTTCTTTTTGTGAAGTATGCGGTTTCAGAGAAAGCAGCCATACACAGAAACCTACCATTTGAGCCACTCTCTTTCCATTTGAGCTTGTTGTCTTCTGTGTGTCGAGTCCAAGTCGAGCGAAAGCTCACCAGCTCAGCTGTGATGTGTGCCAGACTCCACTGCAGACCCCTGGAGCTCTCCTTCCAGAGATTACTGAGAGCAAATAACAATTGTCATTTATGCTCGTATTGATTTTCATGCTGACATTGAAATGAATCCTGAACACTAAAGCAGTCCAGACTTTTATGTGGACCCACCAGGAACAGATCAATCATACGCTGTTTTCCCACTGAACAAAAAAAGGAGGATCTTTAAACATGCTACAGGCAATTAAACCAGGGACTTTTCTTTAAGTAAATTGTTGCTTTCATAATCATGTTTTCACACAATTCTTGAATTTCAAATATCTCAAAATTCATAGCTTTTGTCTTTCCTTTCTTAGATGAGCATACATTTGGTGTGTACGTATTCATAGTTTCTTGCTAAATTTTACCTTGTTAGGCCACAAGTCAAAACACATCTATTTTTTTATTTTTATTTTTACTATGAACATAAATATTGTCATCTCTTCCAAGATTTACCAGTCATTTTGGTAATTTATCCTTATATTTCCTTAAAAAAAATACTCAGACAATTAAGTCCAGTCAAGAACAAGTATGTTTTTTTGTTTATTGATGACCTCATTCCTGTGTATTGATACCCTCCTTACATTCAATTCTGTTGAACAGCAACTAAACAAAAACTAATTTAGATACTGTCACATCCTCTTTATTTCAGAAATGAAATGAAATGAAATGAAATGAAATGAAATTTTTTGAAATGAAATGAAATTTTATTCGAACATGATACAAATATAAAATAAAATAGTGCACAGTAACAAGAAGTGCATAAGAAAGAAGAAATGTGGGGTAAGATTATCTGCTGTGTCTCGTTCAGTTCGGACTTCCCTTTTTCAGCAGCCGTCATTCTCAGCTTTGTATCGGCTATATTTTGTCGACAGTGCAGATGATGTTATTGTTAAGGAGACACAGTGTAAGTGTCTAAGTTATTTCTGCTGAGAAAGAGACAAGAGTCCTTGCTTGTTCCCTGTAACTAGTTTGACAAGAAAAGCACTCTGGCTCTATTAATAATCATACATATCCAAAATTTTATGATCAAGTAGCTGTGTCAAAAACGTTTACAAATCAGTGCTGATTCACTTAAAATTCAAGTGAAGATTGTGTTTATATAATAGATACAAAACAAGTCAAAGACCATATCTCAAGAGAAATAAACTTTTAAAGGCTTTTAAAGCCTTTAAAAGTATTTAGGTTTTGTTAATATTTTTGTCTCTCCCTAATGCTTGCTCCTTGTGGTTTCTAGGTATTTAATATGAATTTAAATCCAGACCTCCATGTTTAAATTATAACAACTCTGGAAAGACTTTAATTCTTGATCCAACTTAAGAATCAAATGTAACTTCATACATACTTTTTGCAATTTACTTTATCCTCAGGTTAGATGATTGTAGCATGTAAACAACAGTCAAACATGAGAGGAAAAGAAGCTCAAAAGGACATAGAAACCATTTACCATCAGTTGGTTTAGTCAAAGCCTTTTATTTGAAGGTTTAATTGATTGTATAGGATTAAAAACCGATTAGTTAGACTGTTGCCGACACCTAATGTCAATTTCTCATCAGTAGCCCCATTTTAATTTTATTTAGTGAGAAAAAGTTGTTTAAATATGCCTTGTTATATGTAATTCACTTGTGCTATGCATTAATCTGTAGACTTTATATCATTTTGGCATGGTTTCTTCTCTATTACTGTAAGTTAAGTCTATTTTAGGTTTAATTTTTCCAACTATTTCCACCCTCCTCTTTCTTCCACCAGATGTTTTACTTTACAGATTTTTTTTCCTACAGTACCTGTGTCTGTTGCAGGGATCTGGGGGACCTGGGTTTTCCTCCACCAAGGGAATAACAATTTTCTCTGCCATGTCCGTCAACAGGGAAAACGTAGGATACACAATGAAGTCAATGAAACCTGTAAGAACAAATGTCAGCATGTAGTTACTGAGGTACCTACAGTAGATCACATTATAATTAATGTACTTCGAACTATTGGGAGCATGAGTGGAAGACCAACACATAGTAGTACTTAATTCTGAAGTGGAAGGGAAATGTTACACGGTTTTCCAAATTTGTGCAAGTACTAAAAAAATTGATAGTGTGTCTGTAAACGGCACTTTTCAGGCTTTGTGACAGCCTTCATGATGCTGTTTGTTTACTAACAGCTGGTTTTAAACTGGTTAAATCACAAACAGGTTGATTACATTTACTCTTTAGTCAAATTATCAAGGGAAGTCCTTGCAAATCTTTGGAAATAGTGTGAAATAATTTGGAAAAAGTTCAAGGGGTGGGGATTTATGAAGGTAATTTGAGCTAATGTGTTCATAAAGTACTGTTTGCATCAGTAAAAAAAAAAAAAAAAAAAAAAAAAATCTTTCCAAAATACAGAGAAAATGGTTGTTGGACCTCACTTAATGAAGCTGCAGGTTTCTTCAATTTTGAAAAATAATGACAAACGTAAAACCTGGCAAATAAGAACACGTGTTTGTTCTTCTACAGAGGCATTGTGGACAACAACTATATCCTGCTTAAAAGACAGGACCATAATTGAGACATACCTATCTGGGACTCGGCTACTAAGGTGCTTTTTCGATCACACAGTGGAGAGAAGGGAAGGCCGAGCTCCGCCTCTCTATCGCCCTCACAAAGATACAGAGAACAAGAGAAGATTCAATGGCATCCCACACATGACCTGAAAATAACTTTCTATGGTTAGGTTATTCCAACAAACAACCAACTGAAACTTTTAGATGGAGCGTTTTGTGAGCAGGTGGTTCTGTGTTTTTAAAGGTACAAAAGATTCAGAGTTTCCACATCTTGTTTTCACAGAGACAGGAAAACTGCCCAACATCTGTCAAGAAAAAAAACCCATTGTTAAAATAATTACAAGGCTCACATCAGATTCAAGTCGAGGTAGCTTTTAAGGGAAGCATGTTTGGCTTTTCAGATTACAGTGTTTGTAAACTGTCACTCATTTCTAGATGCACGCATTTATAAATACTGACTTTCTTGTATTTACGTAAGATGAATAATTACACTGTAGTTAAGACAAGTGTCATAAATATAGTGATGCATGTAAAATTATTGTAAACATTTCAAGTAGAGTGGATCTCAACTGTGTAAAGTTTTAATGGTCCAGTTTTACCCTGGAGCTCTGGTCTTTTTTTTTTTTTTTTTTTTTAATTTCCTGCAATAACTTTGCCTCAAACCATACCAAAGGAGATTCTTAAATAAATTCCAATGATTACCAGACTTTAAAGGCAACAAAACATAAATTCAGCCTGATTCCTGAAGGGTTTCCAGACCAAAATACTGTAAAATAAGGAAACTCATTTTCTGAGTACAGAAAAGCCACTAACATTACAGACATTAAGCTCTTCCAGAAGTGTAATTCATACCTATGAAGCTATTCAGAGATTTTTGTTTTGAAAAAAATAATATCTTATAAGCTTTTGGAAAATTTTACAAACTTTGCTGAAGTATTTACCACAAAACCATGGCAAAACGGAACATAAACCCAGAATGAGAAGACTCAGATTGTAACAAGATGGAGAAATAAAAGATTCGAAGGAAGGGTTCAAACATGCTTTATATTTCCAAAACTAAACATCCTACGTCACAGTTTAGCCTCTTTTGCAACATATGGTGGACATCAGTCAAAACAGGAAGCAATTGGAGAGATAATGGAAAATGTTTATACAGTTGTACTTATCAGAGACAGTTTGTGCATCAGTTGGTTTTCAGAGGACATCGTTTTAAAATAATAGGACATTTCACTGCCTTTTTTATTTGTATATCTAGATTTACAAAGTTCTTAGCACATGACAGCACTGAAACTTGGTCATGTGAACTAGTGAAAAAAAAAGATTGAGTGATATTTCCACAACTTTCACTTTGTCCAGGATGAACATGACAGCTTTCTAGGAATCCCTCTGTTGCAAATGATCTAATTTTGATAATTTAAATAAGGAGGAGAAAAAGTTAAAACAAAACAAAAAAAAAAAAAAAAAAAAAAAAAAAAAAAAAAAAAGGCCTATGTCAGATCAGGTCTATTCAGATGCCTACCTGCCTGAAAAACTCCTCCATTAAGGCTTTGGTCCAGCGAGAGTGCAGCGCCCAGGGCTTGGATGGATGACTGATGTCAGCCGTGTGCAGTAACAGAGACAACGCTTTGGGCTTATCCATCCTGATGGAAAAAGCATAATACTTGTTTATGTTGCCTGCAGACAAAGCAGTTCTGACACAGTTCAGAAAGTATAAGACACACAGTTCCTTCATCCAGATTGTAGTTTGAAACATTTCAAATGCCTCTAAAGAGTCAATACGTTTTGCACCTACCGCTCTTGTTGTTGTAGACGGGATTTCATTGCTTTTACTTGAAGTAGGTGGGAGGACATGTCAGTGGCCAAAACCATCTCTATAACAAGTGATCGCATCTCCCTGTAAACACACACAGACGTGCACAGACTCGCAGTTTACTGGCCGGCCTTGAATGATGTGACGGAACCATATAAAGTAAAAGTGGCAGGCGGGAGGACTTTTTAACTTTACTGATGGATTTCCTTGTTCTCATGGTAACACTAACTGCAAAAGGAGCCTGTTGCGGCATGCTGCTGTGTTTATCTCTGCACAGCTCCACAGTGAATATTACAGCCGCACCGGGTGTGTGAAGTATGAAGCAAACGACTCCATTAACACAGACGGTGCGGATATTGTAAATTATTTCCTGACACAAACTCCACTGATGATGTTTTAGGAGGCTTCGGTTTTACCTTAAAGTCAGCCATCAATCTTTACTGTAATGGAAACTCAGCATTGCAACGTCATTATAAGGTCTGACAGATGCAGCTGCAGACTTAGTTGCAAGTGAACAGCTCGTCATTATAGATAAAAATGATCCTTTAAAGACTCTTAGGAAATTTAAGGTGAATGTAATGTGGTAGTTTAATCTAAGGTCCATTTCCTCTGCAGAACTGATGTAATTCACTGAGAATTGTGGGCCATCTTTCTTAGACACACTACTTTAGTTCTGCCAACAAATTTTCTGTGGGACTGAGATTAGAGATTAGGACTTTCTGTCCTAGACCCACTTTGTAATCAATTTGTCATTTTAATTAATAAGATCTTTATCCATTAGGGAGACTCAGCTGTGGCTGAAGTCTTATGATGCTGGTTCAACATTTCTCCATAGTGTTTCTTATTCATTATCTCAATCATCTTGCGAAGTGCACCAGAATGTTCTGCAATAAAACACAGCCACTGGAGTTCTCACACTCAGAAACTGCCCCTTTTTTCTCCAAATATAACAATGGTCATTATGGTTAAACTTCTATTTAGTTTTTTTAGATCACAGGGCCTGTTCCTGTTTGCTTTTCATGTTGCCTTTGGGGTGATAGCTTCTTCTTCTCTCTGTAGTTTCTCAGCCTATGATGTTACAAGAATCATTTCACTTCTGCTTTGGTTGATAGACACATTTCTCAGCTAAATTAATAATAAATAGTAATAAAAAAAAAATACAAAAATATAAATCAAGGAAAAATCAGGCACTGCTTTTGAATTGTTTTTTGAGGGTTTTGAGACCGTCTCGAAGCAGATCCATTGATCACAGGTGCATATTTTATTCAGATGTTTAAGGTCCAACATACCAGGTGAATCCATAATACTACAGCTATAATAAAGGGGTGTCATGTTTAACATATTAAAGTAGTCTTGTGTCAGCTAATTAAAATCATAAAGTCAGTTGAGATTTGTTTATTTTTTAGTTGGCAAGTAAATCAATAAAGTATAAATGTCACACCCACAGTGTAGAAAACATTATGGACAGCTTGTTTCATTAAGTAGTATGATCAACTGGCATTTTATCTTTCGTGTTATCTCAAAATTAACTATAAATGTCGGCACATTTTAATATAGAATAAACGTAATTATCTTACATCCACTCTTCTCGTGTCAAATTAATGAAGATGTTCATCTGGTCGTCCTGCAGCAGGCGAAATGCTGCACTTAGGTGATGACTTTCCTGCACAGATCTGTCATTGTAAATCAGAGCAAACTCTGACCTGGAACACAGACAGATAAAGACGAGTTGGTAATAAACACAAAATCTTGTGATATCTAGGAATGAAAATGCATAAATGAATAAAGATACAGTCAAACAGCGAAGTGACTGTTTGGCATGGAGAGTTTGGAAAATGTGATTAAAAGTAAAAGCCTTAGGGAGCAGTTAAATAATTGTGATTGCAAAACTATAATGATGACCTTCACACTGAAGAGAGCGTGAAATGTTGGGGGAAAAAAAGGTCAGCCATGTGCATGAATGACTCACTATTATAAAGGTAATTAACAAATTATTTGATTACCTGCTTCATGTAAGGGTCTTAAAATTAGAACTAAAGGAGATTATGTGAAATTTTTCAATCAGTACGATGGAGGTGACGGTTTTAGGAGTTCACCCTGCAATTAGAGGGTTGCTGGTACGGTTCCTGTTCCACCCGCCTCTGTCGATTAAGACACTTCACCCCCCCTTGAGGCTGGATGCATGAATGACTGCCGTGTGAAGCGCTTTAGCGTTCTCTGGGCTTGATAAAGCACTTCACAGACACAAAGCCATTCTAAAGCCTCTGAAAAACTTCACACTTAAAGAAATGATTGGAAAAGAAGGACTAAATGTTTGGAGATCTACAGATTCAGCAAACAAAGGCAGTTTTTACTTTTAGTGTGAGGCATCCTAAAAGCAATGTTATTTTAAAGGGGGAAATACTGAAGGTAGAAAAGTTAAAAGTAACTGTTGACTGACAGCAATATAACAATACAACAATATTACATTGGACAAAAAGAACATTAGTTTTCCAAGGCACTATATTATGTTAATAATTTGATGTCCGCAACAACTGATCACAAACTGATAACTTAATGCCAAGGAAGAGTGACTGACATGGCAGAAAGCAAAGAAAAGTAAAGCAATTCAGAAAATACTTTAAGAATTTAAAAGCATTTAAAAACAATAATTGCCCTGTAACATTATTCTTATGTTTAATAAACAATATTTTTATATGACTTTTACAGAGGTAATACTCAAAGTATTTATGTTACCCTCATTATAATTTCATCCTTACGACGTAATTGTCAAGATGTGTGGTTGAGAGCGGTGAGAGAGACGCCGGGAATCCCAGGTAGTCATGATGAAATATAATTTAATGAAAAAACCAGGAGGAACAACAGAAAATCTCTGGCAGCACAGGAACAGACAGACGTGAGACACGACGACGATCCGACAAAGAACACTGACAACAGGTGGGACTAAATACACTGGGAGGGTAATCACAGGAACGACACACAGCTGGGATCAATCAAGACAGACTCAGGGGAAAACAGGACTAGACAGACAGAAACTACACAGATCCTAACAGTAATGAATGTTTATTGTAGACAGACATCCTTGTGTTTCTTATTGTATTCCCAAAATAAGAAGAAACACTTAAAATGGGTGCTTGGAGACTGTGTTGGGAAAATCTAAAAATACTGCTTTTCCCTCCATAAAGTCATGTTTGCTTTAGAAAGATCTCATCTCATTCCCCAAATTCCTTAAAAGCTATATGTATATGTGTTTTCTTACTATTTCTGAATCTACTTCTATCTCTAGCTCTGTTTTGAAGTTTCAGAACAGGATGTGACATTTATGCAACAGGCACTTTACAAATAATACACAAGGTCCATAATAGATGGAGCAAGAAATAAAGCCGACCTTGTGTGGATGTGAAAGTTGTTTGTGGTTCCCGTGTGTTCGAAGTCGTGAATGGCTGCAGCAAACAGGGAAGCCATCACTTCAAGCTCTGTCAGCCAGTGCTTGGTGAACAAAAGGGACACAATTAAATGGATAAGCAACATATCAGGTCTGAACAACGTAAGAAGAAGCTTTGCAGACAAGAAAAAAAAGGAAAATGAAACATCAGAATAACCAAGACTTTGCTATGATTTTTCTTAAAAATGGAAAATAAAGTATGTCGAATCTCAAACTTTTTGGGGCATTCTATACACATGCTGGCTGAAATTAGATTTTTAGAGGAACTGGAACTGGTTTTCTTTTTAAGTAAAATCTTGGGCCCCTATTTAAAGAACAAAGTCCCCCACATCCTGTTCAGTTAATGGATGAAAAAATTAATGAACCCTTTTTCAATTCAAGTCAGTCACAACATCAGACACAATTTTACCAGTAAGAATCCCTGATTCCTATTTTGCCTCTAAGGAGTGCTTTTGTATAAAAACGTCTTTGAATGTTGAGTGTTTTAATTGTACATTCAGTCGAGGATCAGACTATCGAAAGAACCACTTTGAAATAAATTATCTTTAAGCCACTCAGCACTGACTCAGAAATCATTGATCACTTAGAGTCTGACACTCAAAGGATAAATCAGAGGGTTGTTCAGACATGAGCGAGAATACAGAAAAAAAACACAGTAGAAAAATATAATTTCATCGATGCGTGTTATGTAATTTGTTCCTATTTCTGAATCAGACAAAATGTAAAACGGAGAAGTTTTACGGACATACACAGGTAAACAGAAAGATGGGTTTTGTGGGCGATATTCACCACAAACATCCCTCCAATAAACGGATGATTGAAAAAAAGTGGGTGGAGTCAGTAATAATTTTTGAGTGAACGGTACCACGAGTCCGGAGCGCAGCAGCAGACAGTGCATGGTCTGAGTCACATCAGCCGCATGAAGGAGGTTGTGATATGGATTGTTGTATTTGCAGTATCCTTTTTCCAGGGCAGATAGGAATTCAGTCAGGCATGAGATGGGAATCTAGAGAAAGCATTATGTAATCAATTCACATCTGTGCCTGGATTAAACTCAGAAAACAACCTGAATTAGGTAAAAAGGTTAAATACCGCACATGATGCAAAGAAGATCATTTTCAAGTACTAGAAAATGGAACAATCTTTCTCCATCCATCCATCCATTTTCTGAACACCCTTGTCCCTCAGTGGGGTTGGGAGGGGTGGAACAATCTTTCTATCTGATCATTTTCTACGCATTACACACAATTAGCTGCGAGAGCTCATGTCTCTCTGAGGGACGTTTTGTCCAACCTCGTGCTTGCACGTTAAAAATAAATTTGCTAAAAGTCAGCTCCGTACAGCATCAGTTACAGACCTTGAAGCGGCTGTTGAGGTCATATCTTGTGATCAGTTCAAAGAACAGAGTTTGTAGTGCGTGATCAGAGCTAGCGGAGTTCAGAGCAAAAACATCAAAGCTCCAACGGTCCACATCCTGAAGAGAAAGAGAGAAAAGTAGCAGCCCCACTGGAACATACCTGCACTGATCCTTTTTCTAAGAATGTGCCATTTATCAAATAAACATGCTGCACACTCTGAGGTAGCAGGTTAGTGTGGACTTACCCTAAGGCAGTTTACGACTGCCTCAGGTTGGTCTGGCATAGTTGCTGTGTAGGCCCTCTTGAACATCCTGGAATAATGCAGTGTTTATGTTGAGTTCAGTTAAAGTTCAGATGTTGACATTGTGCAGCAAACTTGACTCAGGGGGTGTTTATACTAATCCCCTAAAGCCTCTGCCCTCAGTGTAAGAATGTTTTCCAGGAAATAAATGAAGGCTAATGTTTCACAGTTTAAATCTGCTGTTGTAAAATGAACTTAATGAATGTTACTAGTCGGAATACTGAGAGAGGAAACAAATAATTTACAGCTTTAGCGAAATGGTATAAAGAATACAGCCAAGTGGTTCTATTGGTTTCCTGCAGGAGGCTGTGCTGTTAGCGAAACACCCACTTATACCCTTGAATTGGTGACACAGATCCAAACGGAAAGTTTGAACTAGCATACCTCTCCACAAATATGCCAGCCTGCACCGCATGCACAATGCTGCGAAACTTGGGCTTCTCATCTGAGCGTCTCAAAGGCCGTCGAATCCTCTGGGTGAAGGTGGACGCCAGCCAGTCAGTGACCTCCGATGGCACCCCGTCTGACTGCAGCTGCTGAAGATCGTCCTCTGACTCCAGACACTGTCTAAGATCACACATTGATTATTTGAAGAGAGACAGAAGTAAGGTCATAAAATAATAAAGGAACAATCTGTTCTCGTTGGACTAATTCCTGATCGTAAAGGTCAACATATTGAATAACAAGTAAAACCTTGGCTCATGGAAACTATGCACTCTTTTTGTCTGAGTTTCACAGAGACAGCCACTCACTCCTCCCAGGTGACAGGTAACGGATTAGACTGCGTGTTTCCAACACTGTCTGCAGGGGTGCTGGGGTCTCTACCTTTTCCTTCGAGCAAGCAGGGGAAATTGCTGGTGTCATGCAGTTCCACCAGCTGTCAGCTATCAGTCCTTTGCAGGTGACGCATGATGCTTCTTTCAAACTGATGCAGAGTTTTATTTGTCTGAAGTAGTCGTGAGTGCTCATATCATCCACTCCAACTTAGTCGGTGTGCAACTCTATGAAACATCCAGAGCCTAAGTCAAGGTAAAACTTTTCTTATCTGGACTTTTCAAGATTTTATAGCTTTGCCATTCATACATCTAACCTTAGAAATGGTAACTGTAAACCGTTTGTTTACAGCTACAACTGTAAACAAATGGTTGAAAGTGAGCAAACCGTGTAATACAATAACTTACTGTAAAACCAAATCTGTTCTTTGAATGTCCTGAGGTACTTCACATGTCAATACAAACACCATTTGAGATAAACTGTTTTTAGAATATGTTTAAAAGGGAAATTAGAGAAATCCTCTTGTTGATTCAGATGTTCAGGAGTTAATACTGGCTTAAGCAGAGAAAAACATATTGCTGACACAGACTTTTTTATTTGTACATTTGCAAACCTGACCTTTGGTGCAGCTGTTAAAATATTAGGGACGTCCTCTTGGTGTGGTGCACCTAAGCAGCGTCGTAGTTTGATTCTGACTGGAGCCAGCTCTGTTATGTAAACAGGGTTACGGTTGCTTTTTTTTAACAAGCATCATGAACCCGTTGACGTGCCTTGATAAAATTGATAAGGTTTATGGTCTCCTCAGCTGTAAAGTAAATCAAGTTAGGCTGCAGGGTTATTTGTAGAATTTAGTTTTCACTGAAGACGCATTTTATGCCTTAATCCATACATTTTTGCAGCCCTCTAGCTTTATTTTGCTTAAGCAATATAATCTTTATAAAGCCAAAGCTGCAGCTACTTGGGACATCAGATCACATCTTAAACGGCAATTTTCAAAAAGGCATTGAGCAAATAATTTCTTTCCTTTTTAACCGATTAATTGCACACAGTTTATTTGAACAATTTCCAAAAACTCCACACACTTTGATAAGGATCGGTCTGCTGAGCAGCTGAAGTCGGGTAGGCTGGATCGGCACATAATGACCTTACATAATGAGTGCTACTGTGATTTGAAGGCTCCCGTAGTTTTGTGAATCACAGATGTGATGTTCTTTTTTATTGGAAAATACAAAAGAAACTACAATAAAAGACTTCCTAAAAAGAGCATAGCACATACTCATTTGCAGATAATCTTGCCAGTTTTATTCCAACAAGACTGAGATGGAAAGTAAAAACGGCATTAGTTCTTTTTACACCGAAGAAGATGGAAAATCACCGTAAACCTAACTTAGTTTAGTTGTTGCTCCTTGATCAGTGGCTTGTAGTTCATGCTGTAAAAGTATGCCCCATTTCAATTTTGAATTTTAATAGTGTTAAGAGCCTCAAACAGTCTGCAGACTCTTTCAGCAGAACAAGTTCAAAAGGCTCAGAAATTAAGAATCTCAAGGCAATAAATCTTGAAAATTGTAAAATTTGTAACACACTTTTTATTTATTTATTAATTTTCTAAATTACATGACCCCTGTGTAAAATGCCACACGAGGACACAAAATTGTAAATATATGTAAGTCCCATGAACTTTGGAGTAGATTTTCTTTTTATAAACGTGATTGGTGACCTTGTTTCCTCTCCTGGAGCAACAATTAACTGTATGTTTGGATCTTCTTTGAATTTGTATTTATTGTCTTACCTCGATCCGTCGAGATATACTGCCTCCAGTAACGATGCCGTGAAATCCAAATTTTTTTTGATTTCTTCAAAATCGACATCCTTCTCCTCGATCTGCTTTAGCATGCTTCTCAGCCTAAAACCAGAAAGCACAATCAAGTTATGGGGAATTCACATTCAGCTAAATAAAATGGTAGATTGACCAGCTAAATGTACCGGCCCTCACAACAATTGAGATAAAGGCGAACAGTTAGAGGTAATAAAAACCTTTTGAAGAACTTTGTATTGCATGACGCAGTCCTTTATAAATTAACTTAAACTTTAAGAAATTCAATGAAATAAAAGTTTTATAAATTGACAGCTCTTTCTTTTTGCCATGGTCGAGTGAAAAGTGCACTGCAGTCTCAACAAGCAGAAATGAATCATTGGGAAATTACATAAATGTCAAACTATCCAGAGACAGCCGGTGGTAAAAGGGCACCATCAGAGCCAAGTTTTCCATGAGAGGGAAAACATTCCCTTGTTTAGGGTATTATGTAACAAAGATTAAGTCAGAATATACTAAATAAAGAAAAATAAACCTGCTTGAATTTTGAGGAGCTTTCAGACCAACTTGCTCACTCCAAATTAGTTTTGAAACTTTTTAATCACATTATGAGTGAGAACTGGAGGGAAAAAAATAAGTCCCCTGCAGTGGAACAAAAACCAAATGCTTGCAGCATGTGTCACCTACATTTTAACCACCTCCTGGTTTTAGGCTTAATTTCAAATGTGTCGAGACGTGATAAAGAAAAAAAACCTTGTCTCGGTTCGCAAAAATCACAATCTGTTTGGAAACAAGACTATTTTACAGCCGTAACAAGTATCTGCCATTAATAATTCTTCTAAAACACTCTCATTAACCACCCGTATGGTGTTGAAACTGTGCTGGGCCTATATAAGGGAGCCAGTTCCTGCGGATGAGATGCTTGCAGCTTTTTCAAGTGTTTATCACACTGGCAGGAGCTTTCAAAAGCTGTGGAGTCATAAAAATAGCATGCCTCAGAATGCCACGGCTCACTTTCAATCTCAAGTAATCTCTCCTGATAAGCTAGTCTTTTTTGTTTTGACTGGCCAGATGTGGAGGACCTTTGACAGGACTTTCACGGGATATTACTAGTCAAGAAGGCTCATACAACCGTGCGCATCGAAAAAAAAATTAGAAATCCGCTTTCGGCAGATAATTTGGTAAGTCTGTGTTGAATGTCATCCTAAACATAGTATTAGTTGCAATGTGTGGAAGATCAGCTGCAGAATCATTTCACTTTCTCTGTCTTTTGCAAGTAGATCAAGAAAAAAAATACAATTGTTATACATGAGTAAATCAAATATAATAATTTGCATCCAACCTGTGTTGTTAAAATGCATCCAAAAATTATATATAACCCCTAAAGCTTTGAGCTGTGACCCTTACGTACAATTATACATCAGTGTGTAACCAAAACAAAAACCACATGACCCACCACCTCTGCAGCAGCTTTTCCTCCCACACCAAAGGCATGGGCAAGACAAGTGTTTATGCCTGCAGCCAAAGTGACTAGAAGAACGTTTCTAAGAAATCCACTTACACCTAAAGCAAACAGGAAGCAAGCAACTTTTTAAGGTAGAAAAATACTATCTGGTTCTTTGCTCCTACGTGGCGGGTCTAATATCTGCTGAAACCATCTGTACCAGAGTTTTTTTATTGAGTCACAAGTTTCCATTTCTGCAAAACAAGAAACCGCCACCTGGAGAGACATGAAACTTGTGGGAAAGAACATTTGCTGTGTCCCCAATTCAGCACTTTAGCATTTTCTGTCTTATAGTAAATGCAGATGTTGAATTCAGTTTAAGCGTATAATGTCATCTTGTATTAATGAAAACCCTACGTCTTACCTAGAGATAGGTATTTGGAGCCTTTTCTTTCGAATTCGCACCAGTTCAGCCATTCCACAATCAAGCTCTGTTCTAATCGACCCCAGAGTTCAACAAAAAAAAAAGTCAAGTTGATGAAAAGGAAAGTTGTTTTAAAGGAGTAGTAAGCTGAAAAGTTCTGCAAACCACCAACGCAAACTTTATGAGCCCTGAAACAGCTGCAGCAGCTCTCCCACCCACTTCTGGGGGGACTTACTCCACTTCTCTCTGATTGGTTAGTCAGCCCCAAACTGTGTCAGTATGAGTCTGCTTGAGTGCGTGAAAGAGAGAGAGAGAGAGAGAGAGAGAGGGAGAGAGAGCTGCTGTTTTTATTTCTTCAGTGACTGAGTGTTTGTGTATCTGTGTACACCCGTTGTATGAAGTGTGAGAGAGTTGACCTCACTTACTGATGAAGTGTTGACTCCAAAGCTTTCAAGCTGTGCACGCGCGTGTGCATGCGTACGCGTGTGAGTGCGTGTGTGTGTGTGCGTGTGTGTGTGTGTGTGTGTGTGTGTATAGCCAAATCTCAAAGGAGAATTTTCCACCACAGCCACAAATCAGGGAACTGCACAGGGAGGCTTTCACTGACACCCACCAGAGGCACCCAAAACCAAAACACACAAACAAATATTGTCTAGGAAAGAAAATCCACAATTTAGACCATCTAGTTTGACTGAAAATGTTACATAAAATGGCTTGCCAAAGTTTTACAAACGCCGTGACCTTTTCAACATATTCTTATGCTATAATTTAAAATGTTAATATACTAACATACAGACATACATATAGAGTACAACAGCAAGTCTGTGAGGGTATTTTTCTACCAGTTTTGCATGTTTAGAGGGTTTTTTATTCTTCGTTTTCAAAGTAGCTCAAGCTGAGTCTGATTGCATGAAGAGCATGTGCAAACACCAATTTTCTAAAATGGATTAAGGGGTTGACTTTGACTAGACTATTCTGACACATGCATATGACTTGATCTGAACCATTTCATTACAGCTCTGACTTTATGTTTAGGTTTGTCCTGCTGGAAGGTGAAGCTATTTTAAAGTTTTTGGTGGATTTTTTTTGAGGATTGCCTGTACATCCTCCCAGTAGTTCTGATCGGCTTTGATGTTGCTACTGAAGAAACGCATGACCACAGCATGGTGCATCCACTACCATGTTTCACAGGAATGTGTGTTTATATTGATGTGAGGTGCCAGGTTTAAGTTTTTTTGCCAAAAACTTTAACAATCATGTGACTTCTAAATGCAAATAGTTGCAATGGATTGTATTTAGGTGTGTCAGATTCAAATCGGCTTATTAAAACAAAACAACATGAACGTTACGAGTCATTTCACTTCCACGTTAAAATTGTGACACTTTATGTGTAACGTGACAAAAGGTGGGAAAGTTGAGGAATGATTTCTTGTGCAGGGAACTGTAAAATAAATAAATAAATAAATATATATATGTATAGCAGTAAAGTCAAAGTAATTAATTAGTGCTTATGAATAAATGTCAACAGAGTGTTTTGAGATCCGTAAAGACAGCATGCATGACTAAAAATGGACTTTTATATCTTTTTAGGCCCCATATAAGGACATCAGACAACTGTGCAACACAGTGTAGACAGTAAAAGTTGTTTCTGAACACTTTACAGTTGTAGGTCCTAAATCTATTAGTAGTCTATATTTATAGTGTTGTGAAAGCAGTCTGACTGCTTGGCCTGGGAAAACCCCTGCCTGCTGTCCGTCTCCTGCCTTGCCTGTTGGGTCAGAGTGACTCTCATGCTCCCATGCTCTTTGACATGCCACAACAAATGGTGGACAAGGAGAGAAGTAAAATCGAAACATGTTACTCTTCATCCCCTGTGTAACACAAACGAAGTATAAAAAGAAAAAGCGCGAAAAGACTTCTACTCACAAAAAGTGTTTCACTTCCTTTTAGGGTTTTTTTTTTTTTTTTGACTTGTCATTTTTTAAGCAGACGCCTCATTGATTGCTATCTTTTCACAAACTAATCTGAGCCATTTGTTGTTCACCAGCTCATTGCAAAGAAAGAGAGGGTGAGGGAGAAAGTGAAAAGAGCAGAGAGGAGAAAGAGGGTAAATCATTTCTGGTGAAACACAAACTGTGAAAAGTTTCACAACATGACAGTCAGATAACTGTCTTTAAAAAAAAAACAAAAAAAAAAAAAAAAAAAAAACTCTGGGGTTGTTATTGTGTTGCTCAGGCATTTAGATGCCTGCACAAAATGTTTTTTTTATTTAAAGTGTCCATTCAGTAAAATTAGAATACATTGAGATATCATCAGAGAGTGAAAGTCTAACAGTGAAATTTCTTTCATTTTAATAGGTTAAAAAATACAAGCACAATAACATTTATCGAATTAACAGTGAATAGATTACAGTAAAAGTTTTGTTTTCCTTTAAGTCACACCCGGTCTTTTAAAACCCATTAAAAATCTGGCAGAAAAGAGAGAAATCAAGTGTTTCTTGTCTGTAGCTGAATTGTAAATTTTCATGACCTGGATTCAATTTCAAAATTTTTATTCTAAAATATCACAAAATATGTAATGAGGGTGTAGCTATGTCTATTGGGCTTAAGGAATTAAAATATGTATTTTCTTTACAGTGTAGTAAAGCAGCAGTAAATGGGATTTCAAACACAAATATGTATAAACAAATTCATTGTAACGTTTTACATAAACCTCATTTGGATGGATATGGTTTTCAGTATTGTTTTCATTCAGAGGCGTTAGTTGCGTCAGCTGTAAGGCTCATGAGACAGAAGTACAAAGGATCAAAATATTTTGTTTTCGTGCAGTTTCTTGGTTTACTTTCTCATATTGTTTTCTATTGAGCAAAAAGTTAAAGTCAAGTTTATTGCTAAAATAACAATAGAGAGAAATAAAATACAGGCATTATGTATTTTCTAAGTAACTGAGAGAAAAGTTAAAAAAGGCTTGCTCATGTCTGAGGCTCTATCTGAAATATAGCTTTAAAATGGGTTTAGCAAAACCAAAATACATATTTGATTTCCACTGACAACAGGAGTGTATTTATTATAATGTGGACTTCACCTTGATAGGTCAAACTAAAACAATACCCAAAAGACTCATTGTTTAAATAACAAGTCTTGATAGTTATAAATGACAACATCAAATGTAGTTTAAAATTCAATATTTTAATGAAACTAAAACTAGTAAAAGAGAAAGCCTTACCGTTCCAGAGTCATCATCCACGTCACGACGCTCAGATTTCTATCAGATCTTCTGTGTATCTTGCAAGCAGGTGTCATAACTCCTTTTTCCAGATCACGTAAATGTGTGTATTTGTCAGTGTTGTACAGAAGCACAGAGTGAGTTTATTCCTCTGTGTCTCTGTAAATCCAACACGTGGTTATTTGATGTGTGTAAACTGCTGCAGTTTATGTTTTTCAGTGCCTTTGACGCTCACACTTTCACATAGCTCTCCTCTGTGTATTGAGGAGTCTGTGTGTGGTTTGTGCTAAAGTGTGTGTAGGTGTGTGTGTGTGTGTGTGTGTGTGTGTGTGTGTGTGTGTGTGTAATCCTTAGTGCATAACAACTCAACAGAAGAGGCACTGTGTCACCAACACCATCAGCAGAGAGTCCGTATGTTGGGACCAGAGTTTCCATCATTAACTGTCCCACTGGGTCTCAGAACTTGGAGCAAAAAGGAGAACAGTTTGCTTGCATGCAAAACTTAAACATGCAGAAACGTTACAAGGTAACAGTTGCTTTTCTGTATGTCTACCTATTCTAGGATTTTAGAGAACACACTCTATATGACAAATGATTATTTTAAAAAGTTAAAAGTGTAAACTCAAAATGCAGCAAACACAATATCTGGCTAAGTATTTCACCTGCTTACAGTTAAGTGGAAACTTATTTGCAGCCCTCCAGATTTCTTCCTTTTTTCATATTAGATGAATATAACATGATGAAATACAAAAAAAATATATATTTTATGCCATTATTTCATAAATAAAGGTAAAAAGGGACAATTATGCAAACATTCGTGGCTCTATGTTGAAAACAAGGAATTGTCCCCAATTGCTAGCTAGTAAGTGGTTTGATCAACATTTGTCATCAAGCATTTGTGATGACAAGTTTTATGTTTAAATTGTTGTGAAGAAATTTTGGTCCACTCCAAATAATTTTTCAAAATCCATCCATATTTTTTGCAAAACTCTCAATTGGCTTTACTTGCAGTCTTTGAGAAAGACTCTTGTTTAAAATAAATCCAACGATTAAATATTTTAAAAAAGCCAAGCAAATATTGTGATTTTCAATTAAACACTGTTTCCAATAAATGAGCCAGCATTCTGTAGTGTTCTGTACAAGTTACCGCTTTGTTGACACAACTAACAGTGGCACATCCAGGGGGTGTGCTGTGGTGGCGCAGGGGTTAAGCACAACCCACATATGGAGGCCTTAGTCCTCAACACAGCTGTTTGATTCCTGGCAGGTTTGATTCCTGGCCTTGGCAACCTTTTCTGCATGTCTTACCTGTTCTCTCATAACCCACTTTCCTGTCAATTAACTTTCAAATAAAGGCCACTAGAGCCAAAAAAAAACAAAAAAAAACAGTGGCACATCCACACTAGAGTCTGGAAATAGAAGCAAACTATTCCTTTAAAACTTGACAGAAATAACATGAAGTTTCTCCCAAAGCTTGGATTTAAACAGCGACGAAACTTTCTGATTTATGCTGACTCTCTTAACATAAAAATAGGAAAGCTGAGTTATGCTAATGTGTGCTGCAACAAACATTAGTCCACTGCTATAGCAATTCTGCTTCTGATTCTGCAATGTTATACTTTGACGTGTTGTTTTCATGCTTTTTCCTCTGTGTACTCATGCAAATGTTCCCTCTAGTGGGAATCAAACCTCTTCAGTCCTCAAGAGGAGGCTCAGCCTAAGATACTGAAAACCTAAATACACTCGCCAAGACACTCAAACACACACACACACACGTGGACCTACACATAAATGCTTGAGCTAGATATATGTGTGCATCTCTTGTGTGGAAACTGAGTTGACACACAGCAGCTGGAGCTCTAGTTGAATGGGAAGGGAGGAGGAAGCAGAGAAAGAAAAGAATGGGGAGACACGGCTGGTTTGCAGAAGATAATAACAAAAAGGAATGCCTAAAATTATTCACAAGCATTATTACTTCTACAAAACTGGACTGCATTATACAATTTATATATGAAGCATGAAGACGACAAGAAAAGTCTTATGTTGTTGTGACTGTTTCACTTTATTCATGAGAAAAAAAAACCACAGTGAATGTTTTTGGAGATCAAATATTAAAATGATGTTTTTTGTGCAGAACATACCTTTTCTTATTGCTTTAAATAATTTAAGATTATATAAAAGACAGGAAAGCTGTATACCTATTCAATCCAAATGAAAGTTACATTGCATATGTCTGTCTTAAACAAAAATTAAAAACTGATTTTTGTTTTACTGTAAGCAAATAAAATGCTTTTTCTCAGCAATCAACATATCAAAAGTCAAAGTTATGATTAGTCAACATAGAGACATGGGTGAATCCAAAGCAGAAAAGCCATGCAAGCAAAATACACATGTATGAAAATACTATTTTGGGTAAGCAAAGAATCTGGACAAAATGTCTTCAGGCCGTAGGCATGAAGACAGCCTTGTGCACCTCCCTGTAGGCATTTCGGAGAAGAACGTACGGGAAGCAGCTTTCCAGCATGTCTTGGCTCAGAAACGGAGAGTCTTCCACAATCTGGATGAATCAGAAATGAAGAGATTGTTTTCATTCAAGTAATGTCATGATTTCTAGAGCATACATACAGATTATTTTAAGCCAATTCACCATGTGCAGGAGCAAATAGATGGACTCTCTGTTTTTGACTTCCACTCGTTCCACGTTTTGTCCCAGCTGAAGCAGAGTGGAGGAGGCTAGCTGTAAGAAGACACGGGTAAAAAAAGAGAATCATCAAAAAAACTGGAACAACTTCCTGGCACTGATCATGACGTGCAATGAGTCAAAAGGTTGTCAAGAAAGCTTTTGTTTTTCACCTCAAATATTTTAGGGTAGTTTATAAAAACATCCATTTATTTTTGTCTCATTGAAGAAGTTGAAGCTTTATTCAAATTTAGTGTATAAGCAGTGTGACACAATAAAAGCGATCTCTGAATCTGAGTGTTCTCAAGTCTTTAATGGTTGTTGCCCCGTTAATGAAGACACTTGATTTATTTGGTGACTTTCCTTTTTAATAATTTTCATTTGGATATAGTTTAGAGGACTAAGCTGCAAACAGTATTTCTGATTAACTAAAAGGAAGCACTGTAAGTAGTCAGTGGGTAACTCAAATGTACAAAGTAAACCAGTAATGTAGTCTAAAAATAACCTATAAGTACCGTGTTTGACACACTCCACTGTGTCAAACAAACCAAACCCTGTGAGCAACTTGTTTACCCCCTCAGTTGTGGTGGCACTGTACCAAAAGCTACTGAAGGAAACAACACAAAGACCTCTGAAAAAGTCATGAGCGCACCTTCTTTTTATTTTTACCCAAAATGTCCTGCACTAAAGTCCGCTTCCTGCTTTGGGAGAGAACTCCGTTTCACTTGGCATTCAGATATGCATTCAACCTACACCAGAGTTTACTTAAACTGAGGGTTAAACCCAAGGTTTAAGGCGGACCAGAGTTAGATGTTTTGGTCCACATCAGAGTTCGATTGTGCATTCACACCTCCCCAAACAAAACAGACTTTCCAGGGACACAAAACTAGAGATTGATCAAAGCAGGGCTAGTGTGAATGCACCCTAAGTAGTCCAATATGCAGCCTGTAAATATCACAGAAGCACCCTAACATTTCCTTGTAAGTACCCGTGGGTATCAAAAAAATGTTTTGCTCCAAGGAATGTTTTTTGCTTACCAGGAGAAACTCTTTGAGTTGCTGCTCAATGTTCTTGTTCTGGACCGTGAACATGGCAGCAGTCAGTTGATTGATTGCTGCAGCTAAACAGTGGATGTTGTTGTTGTGACCTAAGGAAAAAAAAAAAAAAAAAAGGAAAATATTGTCACCAGAAATGACTGGAAAAGAATGTCCTCTACTTAAGCCATGGGTAGATGATATTTTTGTGGCTGGAGTGATTTGAGAAATCTTCTTAATGATCTGTAACTTAAGAGGAAGCTTGCTGAGCATATTTCCACAGACTCACAGGGTTAATTTATTTCAGTTATGTCAATGGAAAACGAGGACAAAGAAAATAATCAGAGACTAAAGCCACTGTATGATAGAAATCTTGGTAATTTGCTGCTCTTAATGTTTCAGCCTAGGCTCAAAGCCAAGCAGTTAGGGTCATCAGGGCTGCATGCCAGGAGTAACTGCATCAATGCACGTCAGCCAGAGTTATCTGTAAACGAAAGCCTCTCAACAAAATGTGTTTCTTATTAGCGTACGGGCTTTGCTCCGGACCGTGTCGAACTGGAAAGTATGATGATAGTCTTTCAGGGTGGAGTACCCTTTATATACACTATCAGCAGCTGGTGAATAATTGCTCAAGGAACAACTGATTAGTGTTTACTTGTCTGTCTGGTGAGAAATTACTGTCAAGCAAAGTCTACAGTGGCTGAAATGAATAAGTGGTTATGCACCTCCGTGTTCTTGACTATACAAGGAGTTGGGGTCCAGAGCGAGGGTAGGCAGCGACACAGCGACGTAGACCAGTAACAAACGAGACAACTTGAACTCTTCTTCAACTGATGTGTTATCTGCAAGTTTTTGACACAATAAAAGTTTTAAGTCCTTGGTTAAGTTAATCATTTGTAGCAAGGCATGCCGTGTAAAAAAAGGAGAACAAACATTTTACCTGTTTGCATATTGCTAATAGCTGCAACAAGGGCAGGGTCAATATCACATTTCAGTCCTGCGGCAGAAGCCAGCTCAAAAACACTCAGCGTCACCTGCAGGAGCACAGGCATACAAGTTTCAAACCTTCACATGTAAATACTAAAACATAAAAAAAAATCACAGGAAGTTCATTTAACCACTCATAGTCATCAGTTTCCCTTGTCAAGTTCACCAAGGGTCAAATATAAAGTATTAATGGTTTGAGTGTCGCTGGACCATCCCATCCCTCTGAAAACAGTCAGAGGGACTGGAATTTACACGTTTTCTTTCTTGCGACAGAAAAGTGAGCACACCTTTTCACATACTTTGGTCTACGGACTGACAATAAATCAATGGTAGGTGTCTTTGTCTTGACAAAACTTTTGATCTTGGCCTATTTCTGGTTGCATGCAAAGTCAGCCTGTCTAGGCAGAATGTTTCCACTGATGTGGTTCAGAGTGCAGCGTGTTAGCCACGATCAGTCTCTCTCTCACGGAGGCATGAGAGAGCTGCTGACGTCTTTGGGGTTATCCTGGCCCAGGCTGTGGCACGGCTGTCATGCCTCACTCAGAAGGCAGACGTAAGTAGGGGGCAGGAGAGTTCATGAGTCACAGTCACGAAGATTGCCCCAGAGGGAGATCAGGAATTCAGTTTGGTGGGTACTGAAGAACCGATACATCTCGTTCCTCTCAGGCTTCCAAACTCAAATTTGCTGTTAAGTATCATCCATTATTTAGATGCACTTTGCATCATATCCACATCACGTTCTGCAAAAAGACATCTCACTTCCATTGTGGCTCTAAGGAAGAAGCTTAAAAACAAGCTTTTAAAAATACGTTTAATTAGTTTAGATTAAACATTTAAGAATTTGTACTCCTTGTTACATCTCTTTACTTATGAATACCTTTTTAAAAATCCAGCCAACTTGAATACAGGAGTTATTACCTTGATGTCTGTTTCAAGGGAGATGAAGTCCCTTAGACATTCAATGGGTGCCATCAGGTACGGACAATGCTTCCGCAGGACCTAGATTACAACATCACAATATGGTTACGACGTATATAGGGGACATAATTGTGCAATCATAGAAGACAACTGCATAAATGTAGTGTATGCAATATCTATGCAGATATGAATCTACACATGATATGAATCTACACATGAGCAACTGTTTCACCAAAATTACTACAAGAGTACACTGACAACCCTCCAGAAGGTCTTATAAGAACTTTTACTTTTACTTGTTCAAAATTCTACAATATGAGAGAGATTGGGCAACATTGGCCTCCATGGAAAAGTTCCAAGGTAAAAACCACTTTTGACAAAAAAAAAAAAATAAAAAGGCCCGTCTCACATTTCACAACAACCCCCCCGGTTGACACCTTTATCAATGGTGGAGGTGAGGAATGAGTGGGGCGCCAAACGATCCTAAAGACGAATGAGCCTTATGATCTAAGGCTCATGCAGCAGTCCAGCTCTAAGCAGCTCAAAACAAAAAACCCAACAAAAAACAATGAAGTTTTGGAGTGGCCTTGTTAAAATCTCAACTTAAATCTAATTAGGATTTAAGTGTGGGAGATCCTGAAACAAACTGTTCATCCTCAAAAATCCTCCATTGTGACTGAATTAAAACAATTTTGCAAATAAAAGTAGGACAAATTACTGAACAAAAATGCAAAAGACTTGCAAATGCTTGACTGTAAAAGCAATTAAAGTAACAGGCCAATTCCTTATTCACATACAACCACTTAGGCTTAGACAGCAAGAACAGAAGAACAATGTGAATGGCCATACATTTTCTTGCAGCACCAAACATACTAGTTGTTCATTTAAAACTATGCTTTCCTGTTCTCATAGATACAATTTATTTTAAGTTGATGTTCCAAAAGATACCAAATGTACTGAAAAGATGAGGACAAAGTGGCTATAGTAACCAACCCAGAATGCCTTTATGGTTACTTAAGCTATATCGTTATTCTGAAAAAACAACAAAGATAAAATCTTCATAATGCGATAATGTCAGTTGAAAAATGTTTAAAATCTTTCATTTTTGACATTTACAAAAGTCCACTTTGTGATGTAATGTTTGCATAATTGATGTTCAGCGTTTGTGTCTTATAGCTGATTTGTATCTAAGTGTGAAAATGTATATTAAATCATTTTAGTAGTATTCTAGGCACAATTCTAACATCAGTTTTATGATAGAAAAACTTTACATCTTTCAGGCAGTTCATTGCCATGGATCTGAATGAGAGGATTACTCCGATGATGGTCATCCTTTTCAGGGCATTTTCTCCTCCTGGAAGAGCACAGAAAACTCAGCAGTACGTCTGAAAAGTGCTTGCAGCCACATTTAGCCACATTCGCTTTGAGGTGCAGCGGTATGGCTGAATGTGAAACAACTTGTGTCATTTAGCAGCTTCAATTAATATGCAAATCTGATGTGATCATTTGCTTATCATTTAACCCCAAAAACTGTGACATATGAGTAAGAGCATAAACAAAATTTGCAAAAGTGTTTACCACACATTCAAATACGTTATTTTTAAGTTCTTGTGAACGTCCTTCTCATCGTTTTCTTCTTTTCTCTTGCTTTTCAGCTGACCTCTTGGTGTCTCTCAGCTCAGTTTTCACATGTCTGTCTCTTACCCCCTCATCGCCACTTCTCACCTGTCAGCCTCTTTTTTAGAGTGATCATTTCCTCGGGCTTGTCAAAGTTGTTTTTCATCTGTACCAGGATGTCCATGTTCTCAATCACCATTTTCTGACAGAGAAGAATAAAAAGAGAAATAAGAGATAAAAACCCCCACCTTCGGGCTTGAGTTACGAAAAGTTGTAAAAGTCATAGCTTTGACTGATCTCTTTAACAGTATCCCCTGCTTCAATCCCAGAGGAAGATGGTACTTTCTGCACAGAACAGTGGCATTAACTGGTCTCTTACATGTAAGAATCAATTATTTAGCAAAAACCTTGTAGGTTCATAAAGGTTTGGCTTATTGAATTGAGATAAAAATCATTATCAGTAAAGTTTTCCACTGAGTGAAGTTCAATGAACTCCCCCTCAGACTGTCAGGAGGGAACTACTTACTTTCTCTGAGCTCATATCCTCAACGACATATTTGTCCATATAAGTAACATTTTAGTGGACTTAGAAAAAAACAGGTTTAACAAAATCTGAGCGTAGCACTAAACGTTAAGCTGATTACCTCTGAAATGGAGCATGATGAGAGTTTTCCGTTTCAGAGCAGCTGATCAAAGTAAGTTTGATCAACTGATTTAAGTGTGTGCACATAGAAGAAAAGAAAAAAGCCAAAATTATTGGAGCTCAGATACTGTAAGTAACCATAGCACTCGGTACTAAATGAGCAGAGTCGATCCTTTATTTTATGAAGGTCTTTTCAAAATAACTGGATAATGTATGGAGTGACAGCGCACCATATCAGAGCTGAACTATCTTTTTAAAAAGATGTTGGAAGTTATTAAGTCTTAGTTGTGATTTGAAGGCTTAAAAAATAATCGAATGTCACATGTTGGATACAGATTCTCCACAAACACCTCTGACAGAAATACACACCTGAGATAGACGAGTCTGCACCCAGGAGATACCGTTTTGATAATGGAAAAGAGTTCAGCTATGCCACTTACACTCTGGGATGCGCGTCCCATAAATGTACCACCTGTATCTCAGAGGACTTCTGTCACTTTTTATGACAATGTTTATAATCTCAATAAATGTTGTTTTGATTCCTTCTTTACAATGTCAGTGAATATCTTCACTTTAATATTTTAAATCTATGCCTTTCATCAACATTTGTGTTTTTTTTTTTTTTTTTTTTTTTTGCTGCATATATTTGAACTAAATCTCAAAATATTTTAGTTTTTTGGTGGAAACATTCTTTCTCTTTGGCCAATATTATTTTTTCTATTCATCGACAATGGCCCTAATACTCTGTTGTAGCTAAATATTTTCAGCTTAACTATCCTTATTTCACGTCACACTGTACCTTCAGCTCGCTGACTTGAGAAGTAATGTGCCACATCAGGTTCTCCCCGAGAAACTTCATGCCGTATGGACCAATAAGTTCTGCCAGGGCCTGTAACTCTGTAGAAAACATTTGATTAAGTTAACAATTACGCTGTTCAAAGATGGTGGAACAAAGGTTGACGTACCGCACTTCAGCTCCAGTAAAGTGACTCTGTTTCCTAATGTGCTGTTTTCACATGAATTCAATAAGGAGCTTGACTCCCAGTCTCACCTTGCACACAGTAAATTTGATCAGGGAGTGCAGCTTAATCAATGAACTGAGAAAACTGTAGCTCTTATGCTTCTCACCAAGCCAAACATGTGAATGAACATAGATTGGTACATGTGTGGTTTAGATTCGATGTGCTACCGAGTCCGTAGTCTCACCTATTGTGACTAATTTCTACATAGAGGAAGAGAAAAGCAGAGCACATATGGTGGAACATCACTTAGTCGTGGGTTTAGATATATGGATGTCAGGTCCCCACAAAGAGGAACAGAAATGACAAAGAAAGTACACAATCAAGAAAGCAAATGCATATGTTCAAGCATTCAGAAGTTCAAGAAAACAGGCCAGTGTAAGAAGGAAGAAGAGCAGGCAGAAGAACATTAGCATACAATATGTGGTGGGAATGTCTGAGAAACTAAGAAGAATTTTTTCTAAACACAATATTTTGGTACATTTTAAATCTTGGTAACACTTTCAGATAGAGACTACTTCATCCTTAGGGACAAAACACCCAAACGCAAGGTCAGTGGTGTGGTATGCGCAGTCCAGTTTGGAGAATAATGTTGAGCCCTCTGTATTGGAGAAACAAAACATAGCTATACAAGATGATAGTGCAACACTTGAACTCATCAGGTCAAGGTTTAGCAATTTATCTACATCTCAAGGACACAGGGCAATCACTTGAACATAAAAATGTGCACATTTGGGCAGGGAAGACAGATTGGTTTGAGAGAGGAGTGGAAGAATCTTGAACAAACACAATGACCCAAGGTTCCAAATTTTTGACATCTACAGTGCAGCTTTGACTCGTCTCCCCAGGCTGTTTCACAAAAACTCACACCTTGAGACACGTGACCAAAACAGCCACGTGTCTCAAGTGTCTCAAAGCAGTGAACATGCTGGCAATGTTGGGAACTCGTTAGAATCATCTGAGTTAACAACACTTTAAAGGAAATGAATAGAGTGCAGGGCCACAGTCTCAAGTGGCCTCATTAGTGACGTTAGTGACCTCTATTGCTTAATCAGTGTGACTGTTCTGAAATCTAAGTTTCATAACTGAACCGAAGAAGAAGGACGAGAGGTAAAACGTCTTCAAGGTATCAAGAGAAGAGCAGTTGCCTTCATATCTGTTTCTCAGGATTGCTACGTCCTAAATAACTGAGAATCTACACCAACATAATACAGTGGGTAATGGACTGGACAGGGAGGAAGAGTAAATATAGACAGCAGGAATGACAATGTGTGGAGGCGATAACCGAAGCACAGAGGTGTCCTTGTGATGCATGTGCAATGTTCAAGCTTGCCAGTGTAAACATTAAAATGTGTGTGTAGTAGAGTGAATACAGCCTTCATGGGAAACTCAACCACTGCTTTGAGGTAATGTGGAGGTGGAATGAGAAGCTGTGTGGAGGAGAGACACAAGTGATGCTATTGTAGTTATGTGGAAGGGCCAGAGGAGGATGGCAAATAATAGGCAATGACGTTTATGTAAACCAGACAATGTCAGGATAAGCTGACGAGCGGTAAGAAAGAAACCAATGCACACCAACACAAATGCAAACTCCACATCCTCTTGAGCAACAGAGCTCGTTTTACATGCACACTATTGACAGACATCTGAAGTTTTGTCTTTTGCAAACTGTGAGTCATTTCTGGAACCTGTAGGATTATGATAACAGAATGTTTCTTTATTTAAATGTTATTTAATTAAATAACTATTTAATTAAATAACTATTAAAGAGACAAAAAATATATTATTGTGCTTATTTTGTTGTTTTCCAATGGTTTAATTTAAAAAAATAAATAAATAAATAAATAAATAAATAAATAAATAAATAAATAAATAAATAAATAAATAAAATAAAATAAAATAAAATAAAATAAAATAAAATAAAGTGTAAGAAGGCCATGCAGCCTCTAATAATAACACAATGTTCTGGTCATCTATTATAACATGTCTATTACATTTTTTGCATAAAATCATTCTCATATAATACAATTTCAGCCACGAGGCGCTGCCTATTTTGAGCTCCTTTGAGAAGGAGCTGTTTTAGGGCCTCTTCTATGTAAATAAGCTGTTGGCCTCACCCCCCCGACTCAACCTTGAACTTGCCCATGAAAATGGCTGCAAACAGATGCACAATTGTACAACAGAACATCCTTGACTCTGAGTCAGACCCAGAAGCAGACAATTTGGTTTCTGAATGGTAAATCAACAACAATATACTTGCCATTTTCAGAAGTTGTTGTACAGCCAGACAGTGATAAAACCAGCTATCCAAGTCTGTCCTTTGACAGTGCCAACCAATTGTGGAGTTATAATTGCGAGGTTTTTGAAATGGCTTGTTTTCCAGACACCAAAAAACATTTGGTGTCTGGAAATGTTTCTAGAAGCAGTAGAGACCCAAATGGAAGTAAAACAAAAGAGCAAAAAGTGTATTTTGTGTAATATATCCCCTTTAAAGATATAAGTCAAAAGGTTGTCTTTTAAATTATGAGTTAAATAAATAAAAATAGACTTGAATAGGTTAATATTTTTCAGCTGATAATGTTTACACATTGAAAAGATACGGTTTTGATGTTAGTCTGGGAAAAGGGTTCTAGTTTGCTCGTGTGAGGATTATTGGGCTGGAGATCAGACGAAAGGGATCCCCCAGGGCAGTAGTTCTGCAGGCAAGAATCATCGCTGTGATGATGTTTGCTAACCTTGCAGAACATTTTTGTCTTTTATCTTTAGGTTTTTGTCTGATCTACTATTGGTCTCAATATCAGGTTTCTTGTAAAAGCTTAACTGGAAATATGCGGTAGAAAGTTTCCTTCAGCAATAAAAACTGATAAGAAATACAATTGAAATGTGTTGCCACAAAATATTCTGTTTTGGTCCTTACTGGCAGTAGGTTAATATTTCATATTTGCACGTCATTAAAGCTCTGGGGGCTGACCTGATACGTCTGAGAACTCCTCTGCTCTGAAGCTTAGGTCGTTGTCGGCGTTCTGGCTGACGAAGCACTGCATCGTAGGACAGTGGACGATCAAGGAACTGCTAGCTTGACGTAAAAGAGCCTCCAGATACCTGAGGTGCAGAAAACAAAACATAAGAAAGCAGGAAATGCCTTTGATCTTTACCAGACGGGTTGAACTTAAGACGTTAATTAAAAGATCACTTCCCGGGATGACTCAGAAGATAAGATAGCAAGGTAGAGAAGGGTTAAGGGTACACTTCATATTTATTTGAATCCACTTCATATTTATTATGAAGTACACTTACAGAGCCTTGCAAAGTTTTCATTTCCCTTGAAAAATGTTTTACTCTGTGATGCTACGGCCTCAAACATGCATTTGTTTTAATGGATTTATATGTGATAGACAAACACAAAGTAGCACAAAACTAAAAAAAAAAAAAAAAAGTTACAGGATTTGTTTACAATCAAAATCTCAGAAACGTGGTTTTCACTTATATTCAACTGCCTGGAGTCAATACTTTGTAGAGTTGGTGTGAAAAGAAGGAAAACATTTATTTCTGTAATAAATCTTTTCCTTAGAACCACTTTTTGTTGCAGTTACAGCTGCAAGTCTTTTGGGTATTTCTTCAAGGATTCACACAGTGAGACTGAAATAGTCTTTTTTTTCTTTGCAGAAAAGATCAAACTTTGTCAGTCTTGGCACCAATGCTCCGTTGTAAACAGATGTGACCTTTGATTGGGTCAATCTAATACTTGACTATATGCTTTGATCTAAACTTTAAACCATTCCAGTAAAGTTCTGGTTGAATGTTTAGGGTATTTTCCCATCTTCACAGCCTCCAACACTGTGTGGCGGTTATGTATATAATACGCCAGTTGGACATTATGAAGCTCACCGGAAATTGCCTGCACTGTAAACAACCCCTTCAAGGAGAGGAATCCAGAGCAGAATGAGGTAGATATTAATGTTAATACAGTATTTAGTAACGTGGCCAACATGGACTGAAAGGCTTTGTTCACTTCCTCTGCTGCCATTGCTAAAACTAAAGGCAGACTACAATTGTAAAATCCACGTTATCTTTCATAAATTTCTCTTGTTCGATGATTGGCCCAGTTGAAATTCACTGGGAGAAAACCCAGACGGAGCACCGGAAAGAAATGAGAGGAGAGCAGAATTGCATAGGAAGGCAATAGGCAGGCCAGGATTTATATTGTGATGAAATAAATCCAATCAGACCTTGTACTTTACTAATCAGGTGTCTTCTTAAGGCTATTTGATGCAATGGATTTTGTTTAGACGTATGTGAGTAAAGGGGGCTCAATTAATGTGCATGCCACACCTTTCAGTTGTCTTTTTACAAAAAAACGTTGTAAAGTATGTATCCTTTCCCTTTCATTTATGTGCTACTTTGTGTTGAACAGTCAAATAAAACCCAATTGAAATATTATTAATGGATGTAAAATAGCACTACCAAGGGTTATGAACAGTTTTGCAAGAAGCTGCACACCCACCACGTTGTGTAGTAGTGTGTAACTGTGGGTCCTCCGTGGGAGTCCAGCGGCTGTGTCTGCTGCAGCAGCACACTCTTCACCAGCCGGGTGACGTCCACGTTGATGTAGCCTGCGAGGCCGTGCATGCTGGCTGTGTAGGATTTTATCCCTGCCAGCAGGTCAGAGGGACGTGTTATCTCCTGGGTGGTCTGGTTGTAATTGGTCATCTTGATGATGATTCTGGAGAAACATGTTTAAACATTGTCACTTGTCAGCATGCCGACAGTTCTCAGATGGAATCTTAAAAGTGGTTAAACGAGCCATGGTGGCTTGGCAGAGAAAGTCAATGAGTCTGGGGCTTCAGGGCTTTACTTGAGGAAAATTAGTTTACTTCTTCGTTAAGGCCTGGCTTTCTCTCACTTTCTCTCGCTTATTTTATTTATAGCTTGAGCCACAGAGACCATTCACTGGAAGAATGCTGCTACTCAAGGGAATCAACTTTGATGTGACAAAGAAGATAGTCATCGACTATGACATAGAGACAAAACAGAACATATTCAGGGAATCATGAAGTCACCCTGGGACCAAAAGCTTAAACAAACGGCTAGAACCTAAACAGGAAGAGCCAAGAAATGACATCAGGGATCTCTGCTTAGATTTTTAGGTGTGTTCAACACAGCTTAACATGAAGGAATTATAAAGTAAATCAGACTTCATCACTGTGCTGAGGAAAAGCATTTTCCCATAATGACAGATTATTTGGAAATGAATGAAAGAAAAGAAACAGTACAAATAAAAAAAATGATAGTTTTAAAAGAGTGATGTGAAACATGATTAATAGTTTAAGGGCATCATGTCACATCCTGCTATGAACCACAAGATATTTCAATTTTTGTGTATATACTTACAACAGTTATTTAAACTGAAGATCATTTCGTTGTGTGGAAGACTTAAATAAGGGAGCTCAGTGGACAACATATCACTTCTCAGCAGAATGTTACTTCCGGAACATTATAACCATTTTTAAGATTCATTAGGTCACTTTACTCTCCTAGGTTTTAGTCTTACTCTGTCAGACGCATCTCCAGATGGGAAAGGAGGAACTCTGTTGGAACGACAACATGTTCAAAGACCATAATGTCTGCGCTGAGACTGTAGGAGGAGCACAGCTCTGTCAGCATCATGTGCAACTTGTCCATGCTAAGAGACAGAGAGACACAGGGGGGACATTTCAATTCTCAAGGAGGTTAGGAGAAGTATTTTAACAATGACTTCCGCTTTGATGTTCTGTCACACACAAATAAGGTAATAAACAGAGAACTGAGAGCATGTTTTCCAAATGAGCAGAGGGGAGAGAAAAAAAAAACAGGTTTAAATTTCTCCCTTAGGTTGTGGTTAAATATAAACAGAAAGGGGATCAAACTATAAAAACAGTAAAATAAAACACACTGCCAATAAATTAGTACAGTACATTTATATATAACAGGCAGAGGGGTTTTCTTTCTAACTTTAATAAACTGGTAACCTCTTCTAAATCAACGTGAAGGGTTGTAAAGTTAAAAGCATGTTATGTCTTTTAGGTAATAGCAGAAACAAAATGACACCATAAGAAGTAACAAATCTTTTGAAAATGTCAAAACACATCTTAAACAAAACAAGGTGGTGGAGTTTATTGCAATGTTTAATTCTTCATGACTGAGCCGTTTTACATCTCATGCTCATAAGCGTCACGAAAAGCGTTTTTCTGGCAAATTAGCAGTTTGTGACTTGAGCACTTTTTTAAAGTAAAAGTTATAAATTTGTTTCCCCCTAAACAACTTTTCAGAGACATCGGCATGCCTAATCAGTATGGTGTAGGTGAGTCCTGGGGTTGATTTTTCACTGTGAAGTAATGTGACTAAACACTGAAGTTGGCTAATTTTGGAGCTTTTGGTTTGGCAGATTAGTAAATAAAAAAATAAAAAAAAGAAGAAAGAAATCAGTGCTTTTAAGGGTTTTAAGCCAATCATCTCTTTCTGAAATCTAAAATGATTGTAATGATAATATTTTGAACTTTTTTTTAGCATTGTTTGGCCACAGACAACGTGCGTCTTCAAGAAGAGAAAGATTTTCCACATGTGACATTTAATAATTTTCTACTCTATTCTATTCTGTTTCAGAGGTTTATAAAGAAGGATTTGGGAGAAAAAGTTCACATTTTAACAAATATTAATAGAGACTGAATTGTCTGTATTGTCTCTTCTTCATTAGCAACAAATATTTAAATAACTGAGAAACATAGTACTACTTTTTAAATAATAAGAGTAAATATCGAAATGTACTTTGATTAGTACATTAGTGAGATCACTGGATTTATGTGTTTGTATTGTATAAAGGGAATCTCATCTCAAAATCTGTTTTATAAAACCAGGAGATCGTTTTGTCTCTTCTAGTTGTTGTTAGAAAGTTGGAGCCATCTTTAAGGCTTCAGCTTAACTAACTTATATATATATAAACTTTAAAAGTAAGCAGTGTCTAATTTGTTTATAGTTCTATTTTTATAAAGGTAAAACTTTTCTAGAAAGTGAAACTGCGTCAAGCTAACTTTGTATTGCAGAAGTAGTTTATCTCTTTGACTGGATTGATTATGCTGTACATTCCTGGAAATCAGACCTCCACCACCTCAAATTTCTGCTAGGTTATAATGTTTTTTAAGGAGCCACACAGTGGAAAAATGGCAGGAAAATTATTATTAGAAGGAAAATGTAGTAAAAGCTCACTTGGTGGTCACACTCCGGTCTTTTCTCAGGCTCTCAGCACCTGGTTTCTCTTTTTGAACCTCTCCTTTCTTTGGCAAAGGTTTCTTCTGCTTTCTGTAGCGAGCAGCACTGATGGACTCGGCACAGTGCTTAGGCAGCAACTTATTCATGATGTAAATGGGAAAAGAGGGAGAAAAGAGAGGGAGAAAGAAAAGGAAAGATAAGGTAGAGGAATACATCCACACATGATACTAAACCTGATACTAAAGAACATTTAGCTTGTTTTTTTTCACACTGCTGGAAAAAAAAAGGAATATGTGCTATCTTAACATCGCAGGGAATTAGAAAATGAACACAGCAAAATTCCCTTATCCGCTTGGAAATTCCCAGGTTTGCTCTCTGCCTCCAGCTAAACACACACATGCCAAGTTATGGTTAGTTCGATTATGTGTGGATGTAGACTTTGGCAGAAACACGCTCTTCTGAATAATTAGTTTTCTGAAAGCTGAAAAAGACTCGGACTCCACCTGGTCATTGAGATTGCGCTGCTCAGCACATATCTCCAACACAACACCGCCCGTCTGCTTTGCTATCTGCTCCAAGAAGGTCACACACAGGCGCAGACTTCGCTTCTCCAGTATCTCTGTCTGCACGAAAAAACACATACAAACGAGTTTGGTTTCACAAAAACAGAAGGCTATAAATACTTTTCAGATACGTTTTTTTTTTTTTTTTTTTTTTTTTTTTTTTTTTTTTTTTTACCCCCCCAAGATACACCCGGGCGCGATTTTTTTTTTTTTTAAAAAATTT